GGAGGAAAGTAGAGTTCAGAGAAGTGAAGTCACTGAGTTTAGCAAGAGTCTTGTTTCTAGGCTGGGTTTAGAGATCAGATGACCTCACAAAAATGGAAACAGCTGGAAAAAGCAATTACGTTTTCTGGATGTGTTACCATATTCAGCTCCTAGCGAGGACCAGTCCCCAGGAAACCATCAGGTACCATCAGAATGCCAGTTCTCTGTGCCAGGTGTCAGATGGCGATGACAGGGGGAGGGTGCCACAGACAAGGTTCTGGTCATAACGACTGCCAGGTGGTTTACCGTTGCTCAGTTGTCCAGGTGGGTAGCCAAGGCCCATAAGTCACTGAGTGTCCCCTAGAGACATGGAACTCTGCAGTGGGTGCCCGAGACAAGCAGCTCTGGTAAGGACCAAGCACAGCTGCATCTCTTATTTAGAGCTGTGGCCATGGCACTTCAGAAAATGTGGGTCTGGTCTAGGCTGACGGAGGAGAAGCTTCAGGGACAAGGAGACAAGCTTACCAGAATAAAGTTAACATTTTCTTTCCTTCTTTTTTAGTGATTTATTTATTTTAATTTTATGTGCATTGGTGTTTTGCCTGCATGTATGTCTGGGTGAGGGTGTTGAATCCCCTGGAGCTGGAGTAACAGACAGATGTGAGTTGCCATATGGGTACTGGGAACTGAACCTAGGACTTCTAGAAGGGTAGCCAGTGCTCTTAACTGCTGAGCCATCTCTCCAGGCCCAAAGTTAACATTAATTTTCAAGTAATAGACTTAAAAACAAAAGTTCTAGCAACAAACCAGATTGATGGTTTTGCCCGCATTGATAACCACTATTGACACGCAGTTGTTTCTAGGAGTGGTGGTGCACACCATTAAGCCTAGAACTTCGGAAACAGAAGACAGCAGATCACTGCAAGTTTGAGGCCAGCCTGGTCTACACAGAGAGTTCCAGGCTAGCCAAACAGGGCTACAAAGTGAGACCATGCCTGCCTCAAACAAAAAAACAACAACAAAACACTTGGTAGGTTATCTTCTGGGAGATATATTTCCATCGTGCACATATTTCTCAAAGTAGATTGTTATACTTGTCTTATCACGGATTCTTTAATACTTAATAACATATCATAGAGAACGCCATAGATAATACATAATAAATGTTTTGAAGACTGCAGAATGTCTCTCTCTTCCATCCATCTTTGTAATAATACAAACCACCTTTCAGAAAACAGGGTATGTGCGTGAGTAGGAAGTGGCAGAGGCCAATGACACTGGCTGCTCGGGAGCTGGAGTTACAGGCAGTTGCGAGTCACTGACTTTAAGTCCTCAGCGTCTTCCAGTCTGTGTCCATCCTCTATGCCTGGGCTCTAGCGCTTGCCTAACATGAACAATGCCCTGGTTCAATCTTCAGTACTTTAAGAAAACAAACTAAAAGCGTCATGACTTTTAACTTTCTTTTTTATGAAGGGAAATTGAGTCAAGAGAAGTAAAGTGACCCACTTGGAATTATAGTCCTAACAAGTAGTGCTCATGAGCCCCAACAACTTGTTCCAGAATCTATAACTCACCCCCAGGATGCCTCCAGCTGTCTGGAAATGGTCTTGATTCTGTCTCTGCAAGTATCTTTCATGCCGCCCCCACCATTTCTTCCTTTCCTTTTCAAGTTAAGATGTCACAGTCAGTATAGAAAACCAGTAGACGTCATAATGTCATGGTCATACATGTCCATCATTGTACTTGCTGAGATCCGTCACCTCGCTGTCCTCTCCACCCCTCCTGATCTCTTCTGCTGCTCCCTTCCTCCCGCCAGTGTTGTTTATGTCTCACATCTACACCACACGTGTGTGTCCATTCCACATATGAGAAGAAGCATGCGGCATTTCCTTCTTTCCTCCAGCTACCCTCTCTAGTTACCCGTATAGCCTCCGTCTGTCCATCCATCCATCCATCCATCCACACATATAAACATACATACATATAGAAAACAGGGGCTGGAGAGATGGCTCAGCAGTTAAGAGCACTGTTTTTCCAGAGGTCCTGAGCTCAATTCCTAGCAGCCACATATAATAAGATCTGGTGCCCTCTTCTGGCCCGCAGAGACACATGCAGGCAGAACATTGTATATATAATAAATAAATCTTAAAAAAAAGAAAGAAAACAGATACATTTAAATCTAGATTCCGCATATGAGAGAAAACATATATTTTTTTATTTTGATTCTGGCTTATTTTGTTTAATATGATAACCTCCAGTTCCATCCACTTTCCTGCAAATGGTATAATTTCATTCTTTATGGCTGACTAAACTCCATTGTGTATATATAACAATTATTCTAAAAATCCACTAACCTTTTTTTGTTTTGTTTTTTACTGCAGCACTTTTATTTTTCTTTACACAATGACATGTTGCTAGGCCTAATGTTCTCTCTGAACAGTAGAAAACCAAAATTTCTCATTTCTTAAATTGAATACAAAAAACCTTATATAAATTTACAGATGTCAGTGCAAACATTCCCAACTCAAGGCAAGTAACTAACACCCCACAGCAGTCAGGAGGGAAAACACCAGAACAGAAACTGGGTCCTAAAGCTTGGACCTTCCCACCCTGTCCTTGCGAGCCTCAGGAAATCCTGGAAGTCAGCAGTCAGTAATACCCTGCACAGATCACTGCACAGTGCTCACACATCCAGCAGGCTGGGGAATTCTCTTCCACAGCATGCTCTCCCCAGCCACCAAGTGACTGAGCCGCATGACTACGGATTAAATCAAGAGATGCACAGGATATAAACATATGCCAAGGAACAGTTAACTTGAATACAAGGTCGAACATTAGCAACAAGTTCTACAATCCAGTGCTGATATTGGATACAAGCTTCAAGGACAAATTTCTTTTCAAAGGCTTATTCCAGTTTCATGAGGCTAGCATGAGGTGTGTACCTTTGCCAGGGCAAATTGATACTTCAGAATCAGCTCATGCAGTAGATGCCTGGCACCTGCTCAGTCCATCTAGATGCATTCGCAGAGGACAATGGAGGGGCCTGACTTGTCATACCCTCCTTGCTGATCCACATCTGCTGGAGGCGGACAGTGAGGCCAGAATGGAGCCGCCAATCCAGACTGAGTACTTGCGCTCACGGGGAGCAATGGTCTTAATCTTCCTTGTGCTGGGTGCTAGGGCTGTGATCTCCTGCATCCTGTCGGCAGTGCCTGGATACATGGTGGTACCACCGGACAACACTGTATTGGCATACAGGACCTTGCGGATGTCCACATCACACTTCATGATGGAGTTGAAGGTGGTCTCATGGATGCCACAGGACTCCATGCCCAGGAAGGCAGGCTGGAAGAGCACCTCTGGACACCGGAATCGCTCATTGCCGATAGTGATTACCTGCCCATCAGGCAGCTCATAGCTCTTCTCCAAGGAAGAGGACAATGCAGCAGTGGCCATTTCTTGCTCGAAATCCAGGGCAACATAGCACAGCTTCTCCTTAATGTCACGCACAATTTCCTGCTCAGCCGTGGTGGTGAAGCTGTAGACCTGCTCAGCCAGGATCTTCATGAGGTAGTCTGTCAGGTCCTGGTCAGCCAGGTCCAACGCAAGATGGCATGGGCACTGTATGTGTGACCCCGTCACCAGAGTCCATGACAATGCCAGTGGTGCACCCAGATGCATACAGGGACAGCACCACCTGAACGGCCACGTACATGGCTGGGGTATTGAAGATTTCAAACATTATCTGCGTCTTCTCTCTGTTAGCTTTGGGGTTCAGTGGGGCTTCGGTCAGAAGCACCGGGTGCTCCTCAGGGGCTACACGGAGTTCATTGTAGAAGGTGTGATGCCAGACCTTCTTCTCCTTGTCATCCCAGTTGGTGACAATGCCGTGCTCAATGGGGTACTTCAGGGCCAGGATACCTCTTTTGCTCTGGGCCTCGTCACCCACATAGGCATCTTTCTGGCCCATTGCCCACCATGACGCCCTGGTGTCGGGGGTGCCCAGCAATGGATGGGAACACGGCCCTGGGGACATCGTTGCTAGCAAAGTGCATACCAGAGCCATTGCCAATGAGAGTGGCGATTTGTTCTTCCATTGCGATCAGCAAAGGCGGGAGACAGCAGCGAAAAGACACGCAGTGCGGTCCAGCGGTGGAGTGTGAGCAATCCACTAACCCTGATGGGCATCTAGGTGGGGTCAGTGTCTTGTCATTGTTCACAGTGATATCTCTGTGGCTCTGTATCTGTGTTGCTGAACTTACAGACTGCTTCCTGCTTTCACTCTGAGTATATTGAACTCTTGCTTACCACAGCCCCTTAGCCATCCTGGCCTTTCACTTTCTTACACTGGCAGAATTTACCTCTGGGCTTGACATGCTCTTCCTCCACATCACCTTTTTGAAGAATCTTCCATTCCAAACCAATTTTCTTTCTTTCTTCCTTTTTTTTTCTTTTGTGTGGGCAGTTTCAAGCTTTGGAGCCTGTCCTGGAACTAGCTCTTGTAAACCAGGCTGGCCTCAAATTCACAGAGATCCGCCAGCCTCTGCCACCCCAGTGCTGGGATTAAAGGCGTGCGCCACCACTGCCCGGCTCCCAAGCTGGTTTTCTTTTTTGTTCTTTGTAACATTCATTAAAATCATGTATTTTGGGGCTGCAGAGATGGCTCAGTGGTTGAGAGCCCTCTTGTGGCCTACAGGCATACATTTAGACAGAACACCCTACATGATAAATAAACAAATAAATAAATATTATGTATTTCACTAGGTGTGGTGGCACACGCCTTTAATCCCAGCATTTAGGAAGCAGAGGCGTCTGGATCTCTGTGAGTTTGAGGCCAGCCTTGTCTACATAATGAGTTCCAGGACATCCAGGGCTACATTATGATTACATATATATATATATAAAATTATGTATAATAAATATATAATTATAGTTATGTAAATGATATCTAATTCTTTGTTTCTCATTACCCATGAGGCAGTTTTTGCCTCAGCAGCCTATGAGTGCCATGGTTGATTTGTTCACCCTATCTATCAGTGCCTACCTAGTTTGGTGCCTGGCACACAGTAAGCCTTCAGTGTTCAGGAAGGAATGGACGGCTCACTGAATGAAGCTCTCCTAGCTCTGGTTACGGCCATGCCATCTTCCTGATTCCATGTCTGAGCTGTGACTGAGGTCTAGACAAAAGCAGGAAGGTAAAAGTACACACAGGTTTTGCTTCAGGTTCCAAATTGCTAGGATATAGAGCATCATGTCAAATCTCCAGGAAGCTGCACTGCCCCGAAGTCTTCCTTTGCACAGGTCCTGGGATACCCGGAGAATCTTAAGGGACACAAGGAATCTTAGAGGAAACAGCTCTTTCCACACATCCTACAGGTGGACTAAATGGATACAGCTTCTGTCTTTGTGACTGCAGCACATGGTGGGCTGGGAATCCAGAGACACGTGTCAGTCCCCGTGTGTGTCAGGCCCCGTGTGTGCTCTCTCATGCACATGTGTGTCATAAGGCCCCATGTGTGTTCTCTCGCACACGTGTGTCGTCAGGCCCCGTGTGTGCTCTGTTGTGCACACGTGTTGTCGTAACTCGCCAGAACCACTTCTTGTTTCCATGCGTAAAGTGAAAGTTTCCACCAAGTTTTCTTGAAAACCCCGAAGCAACTCAACTCTTCAGATCTAAATGGTCAACATAGGCAAGAGATACAATCCAGACGTTTCTGTCTGAAGTGGGGAAGCGGGGCCAGAATGCTCCTCTCCCAGGTGGGCAGGACAGCCCGTTCTGTCTCTGTCCTGAAGGTTTGCCTATTTTGGTTGTGGCTACCAAAATCAGTAGTTAAAAGACAAAGAGAGGATGAGGCTTTGGGGACTGATCCATCTTCTAGGTTTGTGCAGCAAGTGAGGCACGCGGCAGGCAACTCCTTTGTGCAAGGAGGAGGCTCCAGCATTTTAGAAAAGAAATGAGGGCTCACGAGAGAGGAGCCCCAGAAGTCCCGCCCTCTGGTGATCTAGAAGAGAAGACTGTCACTCTTACCTCTCCAGTCCAGGGATTGCGGGGTGAAAAGAGTCACCCTCTAATCTGTACCTGCTCTATATTCAATTGGTTGCCAGACCCTGTGTGTGTGTGTGTGTGTGTGTGTGTGTGTGTGTGTGTGCATGCACACGGGTGTACGGCTCACTGGGATCTCCCAGGAACCACTCTGGCGGGTCTCTGGCCCTGGCTCCAGGCAGGTGTGCTGAAGCTGCAGTCAGGGCCTCCTGGCAGCTCCAGGTGCTGTGAGCATGCTGTCATGGAAACGGCCCTGGGGTTGGCCTGGAGGTGGCAGTTTCCCAAAGCTAGGCGATTCAGTAGAGGGAAAGACGGGAAACACACACCCTTTAAGAGTGGTCTCTCTGATCCCCTCAGCAGTCCACAGAAGCCCAGGTGGGTGCTGGGAGAGAGTGGGAGGAGAAAGGTGAGAACTGATCTGGGGCCGAGGTAAGGGAGTCCTCTCAAGAGTTGCTCACCAGGACAAGTCAGTCGACTGTGAAGAGTTGGCCTCTGGCCCAAAGCTTCCAAAGGAGCAGAAAGGGGGCTGGCATTTGTCCCTAGTGGAGGGGCACACCCGGGAATTCACAGAGCCCATTTCTGCACTAGCCAGGGATTTGAGGTTGTGGGGAAGGAAACTCACGGAGAGCCAAGGCAGCCTGGAGCAATTGCAGGGCACAAAGGCTGAATTTGTAGCCGTCCCCTCCACTACCGGTTCATTCTGGTGCTGCCGGTACGGTGATTTATAGGGTAGCTCAGGCCTTCACCCTGGGTGACGGGCTCTGTAGCTTCAGACTTCAGTGAGCAGGACTGGCTGTCCTTGGACAAAATGCTTTTAGAGATGCATTCTTCCACCTGTGAAATGTAGGTGTAGACAGCGTTTAGCCTCTCAGAGCTTAGGGCTGCAGACGAGGCTCAGGGACAGCCCACGGGTATGCTTTAATCTTTCTCTGCTCTACCAGGACATCCCGTGAAGCTCCCCGCATATGATCTGAGGATGGCTGAGCCACAGGGCCAAGAGCTCACAGCTGAGTGCCCTGTCTGCTGGAATCCCTTCAACAACATGTTCCACACTCCCAAAGTGCTAGACTGCTGTCACTCCTGCTGCGTGGAATGCCTGGTCCACCTCAGCCTGGTAGCTCCAGCCAGGCGCCGCTTGCTCTGCCCACTCTGCCGTCAGCCCACCATGCTGGCTTCAGGGCAACCAGTCACTGACTTGCCTACAGACACTGCCATGTTGACCCTGCTCCGCCTAGAACCCCACCACATCATCCTCGAGGGCCATCAGCTCCGTCTCAAGGACCAACCCAAGAGCCGTTACTTACTGCGTCAGCCTCGGGTCTATACCCTGGACCTTGGCCTGGAACCTGGGAGTCAGACTGGAACCCCTCAGAACACAGTGCCTGACACCGGACCTGTGCCCATCCCCAGCCACAACCCTCACTGCCGGACCTTTGTCTACCTGATGGCTGCCATCCTCAGTGGTACCCTACTGCTCATCTTCTCCATCTTTTGGACTAAGCAGTTCTTTTGGGGCATGGGGTGAGCGCTCTCTGTTCCGGTACAAGGAATCAAGCCTTTCTTTGTGATTGCTGGAATGGGGACCACTGAGCCTCCTTTGATGTTGTCTTCCTTGTAGTATTGCTCATTTGAGCCCAGGGATTGCTTAGGCCATGTGTCTGCTTTGGAGAACAGAGATGGCCTGACATGAAAAGCCAAAGGGCTAGGGAGACCTGCAGGTGAACTGTGGGGTTATGGGGTGTAGAGTTCTGTGGCTTCATGGTCACATGGCAAGTTGTGCCAAAGGGCTGGACAGCACGGTCCAGACATCTTTCACTGGAGTTGTGCTGAGCTGTTCACGCGTTGATGACAATTCTGGAGTGTTTCAACTTGTGGGCCAATGTGTTTGTCCCCTCTTTCAGCTTTCTCTGATTCTTGCCACCATTCCTAAAATTAGCCTGCATTCTTTAATTCATTGGTTTCTTCCTTCCACAACCATTTATTGGTCAGAGGCTGAGAGAGGATAGACTGTTCCTGGGGTGGCAGGTGGCCCCCCATTGAAGGGAAGGCATGCGGGCCGGCTGGTGAGAGCCTGGGGCCCGAGAGGCCTCAGTTGCACCTCAGGCTGAGCAGCCTGGGGCACAGGGGTGACCCCGCCTTCCTCCTTCATATGATGTCACTCAGGAATCAAGAATCTAAAATTCAGCCAGACCAGCTGCTGCTGGACAGATGGCCGCACCGTGTGTGACTGCTGCTGGACAGACGGCCGCACCGTGTGTGACTGCTGCTGGACGGCCACACCGTGTATGACTGCTGCTTCTCTGGTTTGAACATGTTCTTCTGGCTCCAGGCTTTGAAGCAGTCCCACAATCAGGAGACATTTTACTTTCTTTGATTTATAGAATAAGCTGTCAGAGATCAGAGCTTGAGTCAGTTTTATTTGCTCTAAATATTTTGCAGAAGTATCATTTATTTATAAATTCCTTAGGGGTCAAGGTATAAGATACTATAAAATAGTCAAGATATAAATTCTACTTTTAGTAATCTAGATAGTTTTCAGCTCCAATGCAGAGGAAAGTCCTCCATTACGAAACAGACCAGCGCCCATGGCACTGAGCCTGCACCAGCGCTGAGGCTCACATCCCCCACTGACTTCATTTCTCTACATACTTTTGTTTAACTTTGTGGCAAGTAAGCTAGGCAACTATCTCACCATATTCTCTGAGCTAATTGGGACAGGGACAGAGGAGCTGGCAAAGGCCCAAGCAGCAACGTTTTCCCTCCTCCAGAGGCCCTGGTCCAAGAAAGCTCCATTGTGATGGAACTGAGGCTCAGGCCAGGGTTACCCGGCTACCATTTTTAGGATGGTGGCTCTTCTGAAACTAGTAAGTTTGTTAGAATGGACAATGTTTGGGATGTTCACTCCTATGTTGCATTTATTAGTTCTAACCTTGGGGTAGTATTAGTCATGTTTATGTCCCTGTGACAGTATTACAAACAACTCGAAGGGAGGTTGATTTGGGCTCATGGTTTCAGAGGGAGTTTGTTGATGCCTGCCACAGCATACCAGAAGGCAGAGGGCAGCTGGGAACAGGAGCTGGGCTAATCGCTTTCAACGACTCCTCACTGGTGGCCTGTTTGCCACAGCCAGGTCCTGAAGGTTTAATGGCACACAGCAGTGCTGGGGACATCTCTGAATCAAATCCTAACTAGCAGTCGCACCCACTTACAGGACATCTAGAAACATGGGAACATCTTTGGGTGTGCTGAGGTTAGGGACATGGACCTGCGGCTGCCTGTTCTACACGACAGGATTCTCCAGTCAGAGTGATTTGTCAGCAGCACGTGTAAGGAAAAAAAGGGGAAAATGCAGGCTACCCACCAGCCAGGCCACACGTGCAGTTCTGGTCTTGTCGTATGGCCAACATTCTCCACATAGGAAATCACTTCACACGGTCTCAAATGCTTCCACCACTTAGGAGCTGGATAATTTTGCAGGTCACTGTAGTCTGTTTTGCCCATAAAAAGGGAATATATCTCAGCAATCCTTTATTTATTTAGATCAGGCTTTCTCTGTGTAGACTGGCTGTGCTGGATTGGAACTCACGCTGTAGACCAGGCTGGCCTCGAACTCACAGAGATCCACCTGCCTCTGCCTCCTGCCACCACCTGGCTCAGGGTCCACTCTTCAAATGGTTGAAGAAATGGCTACTGCTCCAGATACTTGCTCTGCCTAAGGCTTGCATGGGGCATTTTCAGCTCCAATGCTCTCCTGAACAACCAAATCTCGGGGCGGCAGTCTCATCGCTCTATCAGCACTACGGGATGAAGAAAAGGACTCTTCATGGTCCGCTATCAAGGGAAAACAAGAGGTTAAGGGTAAGCTCCAAAGGAAGGTAGACCGAGATGCTTAGTTATAAAGAAAACACCTTTAGCTGTAATTGGAATCAGATTATATGTTTAGCCGGGCATAGTGGGCATGCCTCTTTAATCCTTGCCCTTGGGAGACAGATGCAGGTGGATCACTGAGCTTGAGCCTACCCTGGCCTAATTAATACACCAAGTTCCAGGTTGGCCAGGGCTACACATAGTAAAAAGCTTAACAAAACTTAAAAAACAAAACAAAGGCCTCAAAACATGTCTTGCAGCTCTCACATATCCATAACCTGCAGAGGAGCAGGACCGAACTGGAAGCTGACAGAGCGCAGCACTGAACACTGGGGGGACGCCAGCGCAATCCATGTAACTTTACTGCGGAGCCCAGACAGAGCTCACGGTAGTGCTCCCCAGGCCAACGACTCTATCCCTGCAATACACAGACCCTGAGATGCAGAGGCAAGAGCACAAAGTCTGAGGCCAATCTGATCTACAGAGTAAGACCCTGTCAAAAAGACCTACACCTTTACCCCTTAAAAAATCCACTATAAAAATCTGTGAAGATGCTAGAAATTGGACAATTCATACCTGAAACTACATTAGATCTCAAAACTAAAAAAAGAGGACCTCTTTGGGGTTACGATTCATAAAACGATGAACTAGAAAATAATCCTTTGAAAGATATTTTTATGGTAGGATTTTACTCTCAGCAAGTGTATAATAAAAAAAAAGTTTATGTTTGGAGCCCCTATTTACTGTGACATGAAGAACCCTTTAATACATAAAGTACACCCTTTAAATAGTCAACAGGAAGGAGCTGTACCACGGACATCATGTTTGTTTCTAAAAACTCCTTTGAATATGGATACAATAGCCTTAGGAGGCCAAACTTCAAAAGGAAATGGAAGAGGTTTTCAGACACAGTTCAGAGTCGCGGATGCAGTCAGTACCCTCGGGGAGCTCCACGGAAAGAGAGCAAACCATCCTTACTGCAGTTCACTGCTCGACACCCCATTCTCAGGGGCGAGAGAGGAGCTTGCCCGCAGGCCCTGCTCGGCTATCTTCCTGCTGGGTCGCATCAGCAGGGAGCACAAACCATGTTACAGAGAGCCATGTTTCAAGCAGTACAAACCCAGCAGTCAGCTGGGCAGCACATCTCCATAATGCCGCCACTCGGAAGGCAGAGGCGGGAGGGTCACTTACAATGTGAAGCCTCCTGATATACACCAAGTTTCAGGACAGTCAGGGCTAGAGAGACAGACTTGTCTCAAAATGCCAAGTAAAAAAATTTTAAAAATGAAAGAATAGTCGCAGTCCTGAGCACTGACAGAGGTGGGAGGGCATCCAAAAGCAATGAAGTCGAAACAATGTCTACAAAGTTCATGGCAGAACCTGAGACTAGGATTGCTTTCTAATCATGAAGGATTTGCCATCACCTAGAGGCTGGCCTGCTCAGAGTGGGCTGATGTGAAAATCCAATCCTACACATGGTATTTGACAGAAAACATGATAGAACATAGCACAATTCTTTCCTCTGAGGAAAATGGCTCCTTGGTGAGAGGACAAGGCCCGAGTCCTTCCATTGTCTTGCCTACTCTGCCATCCAGAGTTTGAAGGTCCTGTCATACGAGCAAGTGGCTATGAGTTGCCCATCAGAAGAAATGTCAAGGCCCATTACTTTGCCCTCATGACCAGCCAAAGTCTTCAACGGGGACCAGCCTGGATGGGTCCAGATCTTGGCTGTGTTATCGTAGGCACCCGTGAGCAGGAAGTCTCCGTGGATAGCTGTGGAGAGACAGAGCAAGCACGAGAGATTTCAGCATTCCAAAAGATCTTAAAACACAAAAGCACAAAGACCCGCCAGAACTAATCTGAAAGAAAGGTTATGTCTGCATTCAGATACACCTAACCATAGATTCTACATTTCTAGGGGGCCTCCAAGGCAAGGGACAGTCATAAGGAGACTGAGAATACCCAATAATGGTATGAAGGCTATGTGATCCTTTCCTGCCTGCCTGTCCACGGAGGACAAACTCAAACAGAGCCTTCACAGAAGTCTTTGCCTCAAGAAGCAAGCTTTCCACAGTTTTGTCTATAGGTATGGCAGAGGGAGGGAATTAAAATTTGCTTCTTTAATAGAGGTTCCATGTCTAAGTCCAATGCCTGGGCATATATTCCACGAAGCGTCTGGTGTTAAAGCTGAGACAAGAGCAAAGCTTACGCTCAAACTTGACACCAGTCACTAAATTCTGATGGGCAGGGATGGTGTAGACACAACGTCGCTGTCGAAGGTCCCATACTTTGCAGGTGTTGTCACCGCTGCCAGTTGCAATGTGGTAGCTGTGGATCAGAAGTATCATAGTTAGAAACAAAGAGTACTATCTGAGCAGAACCCTTCCCATTCACTGACTGTGCTTTACCCATTGGGGGAGAAATTTATCCCATAGATTTCTTTAAGGTGGCCTTCTAGGAACATAATGCACCGTCCTGTGCGCAGGTCCCAAACTCGACCAAATGCATCCAGTCCCCTGAAGAAACAACATATATGTGAATACTCAGAATCCAGTTCCATAGGGAAGCAGGGATGCCTAAGAGGTGAGACTACTGACCTGCCCACCCCCTTGCTTTGTGGAGGAAGTCTTACCCAGTGCCAGCCAAAGAGCCATCTTGATGGAAGGCAATGTCATACACACCCATGCTGTGGCCTTCCTGATGCAGGATCTCCTCTTGAGCTTCTAAATCCCACAAGCGCCATGAACGGTCATAACTTAAAAATAAATAAAAGAATTTATACCAATAATCAAGGAGCAAACCGATACTTTGTCTATATTCAAGGTACTATAAAAACTGTAGCTTAGCTCATGTTCCTCAAACTGTTCATTCAATCATATTAACAAGAAATTCCTTTCTGGCATAAACAATGCCTCACCATTCAAGCCTATATGTCTTAAATGACAACCGGGAGAACAAGAACATTCTATACTTTGCTTTAGTGGCCATTTTTAAAAAAGAACTCCCTAGCTGGGCAGTGGTGGTGCACACCTTTAATCCTAGCACTTGGGAGGCAGAGGCAGGCAGATCTCTGAGTTCCGGACAGGCCCCAAAGCCAGAGAAATCCTGTCTCGAAAATCAAACCAAAACAAAAAAGAACTCCCTGGTTTAGGGTTAGGGGCTCAAGAGTAGGAGGGTAGGGCTTGCCTGATATGTGCAGGGCCCTGGGTTCAGTCACCAGCACAAACAAAAAACAAAATTCTTAAGAAACAGCCCAGCAAAGACTGAACTGTCCGTCCCCCCAATTCCATTGTTATATCCTTTCATCCACCAAGCAAGCATTTGTATTATTTACTAGAGTCTCAACTGGATGTTGGTATAAAAAATCTAGATAGACAAATAGAGAAGATACAGAATAGACCCAAATATTCATGAGTAGGGTTCACAAGGGTGCTACAGCAATTTTAATAGAAATCTTCAGTGATTTCTACATGGTGGTACAAATAGAGAAAAAA